TTCTACTCTGACACACAAGATGTGGTTAATTTAAGAGCTGGAATTGCTCAGCAGACATTGGTTAGTAATTTCTACAATACATGTCTCAGATCCATGAGTGAGGCTTAAAGATGAAGTAAGGCTCAAAAATTGGGTGAGCCTCAGTGATAGGGTGAAAGCACCAGTTTTGTAAATGACTTGCTAAGAAGAATTAATTGTTTATATTTTAGGCCACACCAAAATGTCCTACATTAAAATGGGTGCTTTAAAACATCATGTACTTTCACCATGCCCTATAAGTACTTAGTTGTTTCTACCTGATATTAATGTTAGTTGTAGTCAGGTGTTGTTTCTCCAACTATGAGTTTCTACAGGATAGAATCCATTTCTTTTCTGTGTTATTATACACCCCAACCACCTAGTACGGAGAGTTTCTCAGAGTAAGAACTCAGAACATTCACTGAATAAATAAATGGACAACTGGATGGATGGATGGATGGATGGATGGACAGATGGATAGAAGAATGGCTGCTCAATTTTCCATCTGGTTCACAGAAGTCTACTTAAGTTTTAATGAAGTAGGGGTTACGTTGGTCACCACTGCAAATGATATCCCACAAATAATAACAACATTACTTACAATAGCTGTGCTTACTGAGTGTTAGCCTGTGCCAGATGTTTTCGTAAGGGTTAGGATGCATTTTCTCACTGACTTGGTGCCAGAGCATTCTTCAACACTTTGAGACAGATAGTATTATGCTCATCCCCATTTAGCAATTTTACCAAAGTGCATTCAGTGTATTGTTGTTGTTGTTATGTGCCTTGGAGTCAGACCTGACTCATGGCGACCCCTCCTTGGGTTTCCAAGGCAGTATCACTACGGAAGTAGATTGCCCAAGTAGATTGGCTGGTGGGTTTGAACTTCCAGCCTTCTGGTTAAGTCAAGTGCCTTAGGCACTATGCCACCAGAGCTCCTATTCATTGTGTTAGGGTTAAGTAACTGGAACAAGGTGGAAGAGCCTTTGAGTGTTACAGCCATGGTATGAGCTCAGACAGACATCTCAGTCTCTCTGTTATTCTGATTGTAAAGGAAATCTTAGATTAAGGAAGTTTACCAAAGGTCACACAGCTAAGAAGTGGGAGAGGTAGATTTGATCCTAGGTCTGCCTGAGGTCAAGTCCAAAGTCTTCATCACTAGAATCTACTGCTGTGAATCAAATGGAAAGCATTATGATCATGTGCCATTGCTTAGACGTCCAAAAAGCTTAGTCAAATTTTAACCTTCTTCTCAGCAAAGTATAAAACACTACTAAACGCAATCTAAACATCTGCTTGCTTTCATATTGTTTCCCTAGAATTTCCTATTGTGTTACTTTCTTTGCTTTTCTTTTTTTTTTTTTTTTTTTTTTTTATAATGGTGCACTACATGCATTTCTAAGGAGCTTTAGGGCTGCAGTGGTTAAAGCCTTTGGCTGCTGACCAAAAGGTCAGTGGTAGGAACACATTAGCCCCTCCACAGAGGAACAAAAGAAAGTGATTAAAGCATTTGGGTCACTAGGAGTTGGGATAGAGTCAATGACAGTGAATTTGGTTTGGGTTTACATGCATTTCTATAGATCACAGAACACACCAGAGCCTTTTTAATGATTGGAGGAGTAATTAATTCATATAGAGTTTAAAATATGAACTTGACCTCTGGGTCTTGACTGCTGGAGTCCTTTGGAAATAATCTATTGCTTTGGAGTCATTTCAAATTATAACAACACTACAGGACAGAGCAGAACTGCCCCATAGAGTTTCCAAGGCTATAAATCTTTACAGAAGCAGACTGCTGCATTTTCCTCCAGTGGGGCAGCTAGTAGGTTGAAACTACCAACCTTTCAGATGGCAGCCAAGCACTTAGCCACTGCACTGCCACACAAAATAGGAGGGAGAAATATGAAGGAGTAGATACACAGGAACAAAAATGGAGGAAGAGGAAGGAAAGAGGAGAATATTATTTCCTTCCTCACATATTCTAGTACCATCTCATGGCACATCACCACCTGTAAAGATACATCCCCTTCCTTCAATGTAGGAGAGCTAAGCTAATGAACTGATTCCAATCACAGCGTGACTGATTGCCACCGAAGACATTAGGAGGAGGAGGGGGAGAAAAGGAAGAAGAGAGCAGCACCAACAAAATAGCATATGTTCAGTGATGATTGTATGTGGCCCATTTTTCTAAACACTTTCCATGTATTAACTTATTTAAGCCTCATAAAAATTCAGAGTTAGATAGTTGTATTATCACATCCACATAAAAGTTAAACTGGACACACAGGCTAAATAACTTTTCCAAAATTCCAACCAACCTTCCAAACAGCTGTCATCAAGTCACTCAGACTCATGGCAACCCCCCGAGTGTGCGAGTGGCACTCTACTCCATAGGGTTCAATGGCTCATTTTTCAAGAGAAGATGGCCAGGCCTTTCTTCTATGGTATTTCTGGATGGACTGAAACCTCTAACTTCTAAGGAGCAGCATGTTAAGCATTCATGATATTTCCCAAGATTTGGACTCCTTCCCATGATTACATAGCTTGTTATATAACCAGGAAGATCAGCAAAAACAACTTTTTTTTTTTTTTTTTTTTTTAGATTTCCTGATTAATCTAAACGTGAAGGCAATGGCTGGAGTTAATAAGTGTTAGAAAGGAAGCTGAAAATTTTGGATAAAGCTCCCGGGGCTTTCTTCCAGTCTTGTCCTTCCTTGGAATAAGTAAGAACTCTAGTGAAGATGACATTAGTGATGAGACTCTAAGGAAGATCTGTCCGTCAGCCTAGAACTTGCTCCTCTTGTTTCTGAGTCTCCTCCAGATCTTCTTATCTCTCGACGTTTCCTGGTCTTCTCTCCAACTGAAGTGTCCTTCATGATGTTCCTACTGCAAGGAGCCCAGATGCTACAAATGCTGGAGAAGTCCTTGAGGAAGAGCCTTCCAGAATCCTTAAAGGTGAGAATGGGAAATTCTAAAGGGAGCAAGAAATAACACATTTCTGCGAAAGAGGAAAAAGGACTTGCATTTATTGAACACCAATCAGTGCCAGACATTATTTCATACTTCTTCTCCCTTAGTTTTCATCACCTTTCTACAAGACAAGACAACGAGCCCTGGTGATGCAGTGGCTAAACACCCGATTGCTAACTGAAAGGTTGGCAGTTCAAATCCACCAGGTGCTCTGCCAGAGGAAGACGTAGCAGTCTGCTTCCATAAAGATTACAGACTTGGAAACTTATGTCCTGTAGGGCTGTTATGAACCACAATCCACTTGATGACAATGACTTTGATTTTTTTATTTTTCTCTACAAGATATTTATTTAGTAGTGTCCCTATCACGAATGAAAGAATAAAGGCTAATTTGCATGATTTTCCCAATATGACACAAGTAGTGAACTGCAGTGACAAGTGTGAAAATAATTATGTCTGAGACCAAACGCTGCTTTTTGCTCCAGGCTGGCTCAAAAAGCGTTCCTTTGTTCCTTTCTCAGAAACATTTCACAACACTAGAAGTTTACCCAGAGTTGTCAAGACTTTATTGGGAGTGTATATTAATGTTTAATTTGTTCAACCTAAAGAGTATTAGCCAAGTGAGAGGTTATCTGTAATGAATCATCCTATAACATGGTCATAGGCCAGATCAAGCCTAAAATATTGTGATTTGCCCATAGGTTAACTAAGGACTCTCAGGAAGAAGTTTGAACTGTAGACTTTTCCATTGTGGTGATATATTTGCAAAAGGTGTGGATCCATGCACATTTGTGTGTCTTTGTGCATGTGTGTGTTTTAACATTTAGAAGGCGAGCCTTGAAATTGGAGATCACCTCATTTGAAACCTTCAGGTAATGAAAATAGATGAGTTATCACAACCAAATAGCTTCAAAATCAACCAGCTTTAGAACAGTGTAGTATGTACTTCCAAGTATCATAGTAGCAGTGCAGGAATAATGATAGCATTGCCAGGGTCTTTTCATGGACCACCTGTGTGGGGAGGTTAGATAACCCTCTTGGATCCTCAATTTTCATGAAAGATAGTAGCCCTCTTCTTTAGCGGCATAATAAAGACATACAGTTGTCCTAGTGGAAATCTAAGATATTTTTACGCCAAGTACTTTCAATGGAGGTATAATCTAGAATTCACTGTTACTCAGCACTTACTTCTGAAGCGTGTGAGAGAAAACCCATCCATTCTTCCAAGTATTGGATATTAAATAGATTATATTGCATGCAACAACTCTAGTAGATTCAATTTATAGTAGACACATGAAGCACTGAGGATCCTGTGTGACACAAGCATTTGTGATTAGCTGTTAACCTAAAGGTTCATAGGTTAAACCCATCAACCAGCTCTGCAGAAGAAAGTCCTGTTGAACTGTTGCTACAGAGATTACCGCCAAGAAAACACTATAAACCAAACTCACTGCCGTCGAGTCAGATCTGATTCATAACGACCCCTCCTTGGGTTTCTGAGGAAGTATCACTACAGATAGTAGATCATCCAGTCTTCCTTCTGAGGAGTAGCTGGTGGGTTTGAACCACCAGCCTTCTGGTTATAGTCAAATGTCTTATACACTATGCTACCAGAGCTCCTAGAAAACACCATAGAGAATTTTAGTCTGTAAAACATGGAGTTTCCATGAATCAGGGACAACTCAATGGCACCTAATAAACAACAATTACACCTGAATCATGATGATTCACATTCAGCAGAAAAGAAAAAAAAAAAAAAAGTTTAATTAATTAGGTTTGGGGAATAGAAAATAAGAGCAATCCATATATTTCTAGATCTTACAATGGATAAGATAATGTAAATGCATTTTACGGGCTGAAATGCAAATGTGTGAAAGGGTAACCTCTATATTTTACCCATTAAGTGTACTGAATTTCTACATAAAGCTTCCACTCATGACTGGAAACATTATAAAGTTAGGTAACCTCAGTACATTTATAAGGTTTTCACCCTTGTCTTTCTCCCTGCTCTAGCATCAACAGTTCATGTGGGATGGGGAATGGCAGGAGGGATGAATATAGGGTAGTTCTTGGTCACCATCCATCTATGGTGGCAACCATTAAAATGTTCATCATCTTACTTGGTCTTTGGTCATTGGCACACCTCCATGCTGCCATGATGCTTCTCTTGAGGGTAAAAACAAAAATAAATGCATTGCCATTAAGTCGATTCAACTCACAGCAACCCCTCCTTGGATTTCCAAGGCGGTATCTCTATGGAAGTAGATTGCCCAGTCTTCCTTCAGAGGAGTGGCTGGTGGATTTGAACCTTCTGGTTAGTAGTCAAATGCCTTAGACACTACACCACCAGAACTCTTGAAGGTAGAGATGCCTAAACTGATGCTTGAAAAGACTTATAGTCTGTCCTACACGGCAGTGTAGGGAACCAAGATTGGACCAAACTCATGAGACCCCAAAGCCTATTCTCTTCAACACTAGGTTGTAGCCTCCACTTGTTGGTTAGAGTTCATTTAACCTTTCCAGATGGTAATACACATTACCTTTAGATAACTAATTTACCCTTCTAGATTCTCTAAGGAAATATCAGGTATGTGTTGTTGTTGTTGTTGTTAGGTGCCATCAAGTTATCTCTGACTCATAGCGACCCTATGCACAACAGAACAAAACACTGCGCGGTCCTATGCCAGCCTCACTATATCTATGGTGGTTGAATTTGTGTGTCAACTTGGTTGGGGCTGGTTGAGTGGCTGGGCAGCTGAATGTAGCTATTCCCCATGGTGAGACTGGTAATTAACTCCATGATGGAATTTATTGGAGCAGCTGATTAGCTGCTTTGGGTATGTGGTCTTCTTCCCATAGATAAGAAATAGCTTTGGGAATGGTCTCTAGCTTACTGCATGCTTGAACCATACATGTAGCCGTGTCATTGTTCAGCAGCCTGCCATGCTCTGCTGACCTTGGGACTTTCAATGGACTTGAATTAATGGCCTGCCATGTGGTTTGGTAACATCAGGTCTGTGCCATTTGATTTGTTGACCTTGGGCTTGTTAGCCTCAGCAGCCAGTAGCTGCCTGAGTGAAGAGATGCCTCTAGATTCTGTGGGCCGAGAGCAAGAGGCAGAGCTGAAGCCCAAGGGTGAGGGGCTTTCACCTAGCCCCTAGAGCCTGGCACTTTGAATTCAGACTTAAAGTCTCCAAACTGTAAGAGAATAAACTCCTGTTTGTTAAAACCATCCCATTTTTGGTATATTCCTGTCAGAGTGCACTAGGTAACCAGAACACTATCCTTGCTATACTTGAGGCCAACATTGCAGCCACTGTGTCTATCCATCTCATTGAGGGCTTTCCCTTTCTTCGTTGACCCTCCACTTTACCAATCATGATATCCTTCTCCAGGAAATAGATCCTCTGACAACATGACCAAAGTAGGTGAGATGAATTCTGGCCATTCTCATTTCCAAGGAGCATTCCAGCTGCACTTCTTCCAGGACAGATTTGCTCGTCTTTTTAGCAGACCATAGTACTCTTAGCATTCTTCTCCAGCATCACAACTCAAAAGCATCAACTCTTCTTCGGTCTTCCTTATTTATTGTCTAGCTCTCACATGCATAAAAGGTGATTGAAAATACCATGGCTTGTGTTAGACACACCTTAGTCTTCAAGGAGACATGCAATGTGTCATCTGTTGTCTTGACTGCTGTTTCCATTGGTGTTGATCATAGTACCAAGTAATATGAAATCCTTGACAACTTCAAACTTTTCTCCATCCACCAAGAAGCCATTTATTGGACCAGTTATGAGGATTTTTGTTTTCTTTATATTGAGGTGTAATCCATACTGCAGAGTGTAGTCTTTAATCTTCATCAGTAAGTGCTTCAAGTCATCCTCACTTTCAGCAAGCAAAGTTGTGTCATCTGTGTGTTGCAGATTGTTAATGAGGCTTCCTCCAATCCTGATGCCATGTTCTTCTTCTTATAATCCAGCTTCTTAGATTATTTGCTCAGCATAATAAGTATGGTGATAGGATACAGTCTTGACACACTCCCTTCTTGATTTTGAACCATGCAGTATCCCTTTGTTCTGTTCAAATGACAGCCTCCTGATCTATGTACAGGTTCCTCATCAGTACAATCAAGTGTTCTGGACTTGCCATTTTCTCAGTGTTATCCATAATTTGCTATGATACACACAAATTGAATTTTTCCATGTAGTCAATAAAACATAAGTAAACATCTTTCTGGTATTCTTTGCTTTCAGCCAACATCCATTTTTTATCAGCAATGATATCCCATGTTCCATGTCCTCTTCTGAATACAGCTTGCATTTCTGGAAGCTCTCTGTCAATAGAATCCTGCAACTGTTTTTGAATTATCTTCAGCAAGATTTTACTTGCATGTAATATTAATGATATTGTTTGATAATTTCCACATTCTGTGGGATCACCTTTCTTTGGAATAGGTACAAATATGGATCTCTTCTGGTCAGTTGGCCAGCTAGATGTCTTCCAAATCTCTTGGCATAACTGAGTGAGTGCCTCCAGTGTGACCTCTATTTGTTGAAACATCTCAATGGGTATTCTATCAATTCCTGGAGCCTTATTCTTTGCCAATTTCTTCAGTGCAGCTTCAACTTCTTCCTTCAATACCATTGATTCTTGATCATATGCCACATCCTAAAATGGATGAAGATCGACCGGTTCTTTTTGGTACAGTGACTCTGTGTATTCTTTCCATCTTTTTTTGATGCTTCCTGCATCATTCAATATTTTGCCCATAGAATCCTTCAATATTGCAATTCAAGGCTTAATTTTTTTCCTCAGTTCTTTCAGCTCAAGAAATGCCGAGCATACTCTTCCCTTTTGGTTTCCTAACTCCAGATCTTGCACATTTCATAATAGTAATTGACTTGTCTTCTCGAGCTGCTCTTTGAAATCTTCTGTTCAGTTCTTTGATCTTATCATTTTTTCCATTTGCTTTAGCTACTCTCCACTCTATTCTGACATCCATTTTGGTCTTCCTTTCTTGTCTTTTTAATGACCTCTTGCTTTCTTCATGGATGATGTTCTTGATGTCATCCCACAATTCCTCTGGTTTTCAGTCACTGGTGTTCAGTGCATCAAATCTATTCTTTAAATGGTCTGTACATTCAGGAGGGATATTATCAAGGCATATTTTGGCTCTTGTGGACTTGTTTTAATTGTCTTCAACTTCAAATTGAACGTGCATATGAACAGTTGATGGTCAGTTCCACAGTCAGCTCCTTGCCTTATTTTGGCCAAAGATACTGAATTTCTCCATCACCTCTTGCCACAGATGTAGTCAATATCATTCCTGTGTATTCCATCTGGTGAAGTCCATGTGTATAGTCACCACTTATGTTGTTGAAAAAAGGTATTTGCAATGAATAAGTCATTGGTCTTGCAAAATTCTATCATGAGATCTCCAGTGTTATTTCTATCACCAAGGCCTCTTCCTTTTTCCAAGTCTGTCTTAGCCCAGAAGCTCCACTGAAACCTGTTGTTCTGGTTCCTTAGTGCCACTCTGACAGGAATATCTCACAAATGGGATGGCTTAAACAAACAGGAGTTTATTCTCTTACAGTTTGGAGGCTTTAAGACCAAGTTCAAAGTGCCAGGCTCCAGAGGTTGGGTGAAAGTCCCTCAGCCTTGGGCTCCAGCTCTGCCTCCAGCTCCCAGCTCACTGTAGCTAGAAGCTTCTCTTCACTCAAACAGCTGCTGGCTGCTCAGGCTGCCAAGCCCAAGGTTGACAAGTAAAAATGCACAGTCCCAATATTACCAAACCACATGGCAGCCCATTAATTCAAGTCCATTGTAAGTCCCAAGGTCGGCAGAGCATGGCAGGCTGCTGAACAATGACACAGCTATGTGCACAGTTCAAGGTACCATAAGCTAGAGACCATTCTCAAAGGTGCTTCTTATATACAGGAAGCAGACCACATACCCAAAGAAGTTACTCAGCTGCTTGTGATAGATCCCACCATGGAGTTGATTGCCAGTCTCTTCATGGGGAATAACTACCACCAGCTGCCCAGCCACTCAACCTGGCCCAGCCAAGTTGACACACAAACATATCCACCACACCTGTCTACCATGGGTAACCCTGTTGGCATTTTGCAACATTGGTGGCATAACCTCCAGCCTCACAGCAACACAGGATGACAAACTGACAGACAAGTTCTGTTTAGTTGTTCCTAATCCCTGTGAACCTGTCTACCTCAGGCAACGGCCTTAAAATAGAGCCGCCCCCAAGCAAAAAGACACCCTGAGCCCTGGGCCCATCAGGTATGTATATAAAGGTTTTTGTGCAAACATGTGCTATGAGGAATTAGATGCTAAATGAAAAGCTGGAAACTAAAATGACCATCAATACAAATGAATCAATGAACTGTGTGTGATACATCCATATGATGAGCTCCTCTGAAGCCTTTAAAAAATAATTGGAAATATTTGCACATACTGACGTGGAAATGTAGCCACAGTGTATTCACTGGGGAAAAAAATCAGAATACTAATTACTGCATATCAGGTAATTTTATTTTTGTAAAATCATGTATTTCTACAATTTGTATCAATACAATGTATATGAATAATGTCCCAGAAAATATCATACAAAAATATCAATAAAGAGTGGTGCTTTTAAATCATTATTTTTATGTGCATGAATATTTCACTATGTATAAGTCTTATAATTTGTTTGAGAAAAAAGCTGTTTTCATTTGGGTTAATATGTGATATATAAAGATTACTTGATCTAGACACTCCATTTTCTCCCTTTACACCAGACATTTTCATGATTTCATAGAAATAGTCATTTTTCTGATTAACCACAAGGCACATTTTCATCCCATTCTAACATGCCAACTCTCCCACTTTTTTGGGATGCTGCAGGTTTATGGGACTGTCTTCCACATGAACCAGGGAAACCCATTCAGGCTAAAGGCCCTTGTGGACAAGTGGCCAGATTTTAACACAGTGGTTGTCCACCCTGAGGAACAGGTAAGTTACCAGCTGTGGAATGAATTCATGTTTCCTGTGTCCCGGTCATGGGCCTGGCAATATGGTAGACAGATATGGCAAAATTCATATAGGAATGAATCACACTTGTGGGAAATAAGTCAAGAAGTGTCCTCAGGAAGTTCACAGCTTGGAAGAGAAGATAGGATAGATAAACAAGTGAATTACAACATGGCATGAGATATGCAAGGACAGACAATGGACAAGACACAGAAGCAACACAGGCAAAAGCTGATTAAAACTAGATGTGGTGGAGGTCGCAGGAGAAGATTGGAGATACTTCTTGGTGCAGTTTCATCTCAACTTGATTTTGTAGTTGAATGTATTTTTGAGTCAGACAGTAAAGGAAAATAGAGCATTCTAATGGAGGAAATAGATAAAGTTATGATGGTGTGAAAAAACAGTGAATAAAGAGCAAAATTATAGTGGTATAATTTCCATATATATTTTGGGTACAGGTATGAAAACTAGTGAACTAAATTGTTAATGTATTTCAAAGACAAAAATTCTTAAGCTTACTATAAACAACAACAATTATAAAATCAAGTGAAAAGAGAAATTTATAAATATATTAATATGATGCCTTGAATACCAAGAAAATGTTATTGAAAAATCACTAAATGAAATAATGTATAAAATAAGAACTGCACATGCATAATAATAACTTAGAATGAAATCGTGTCATTTCATCTTTTCTTTAAAGTATGATCTTAAGGAACAAGATGTGTCAGTGGTTTCATTGCTGATTGTAAATGCATTTTTGTGCAACATTTTCCACACTGATTCTCCACTAATTGGGGTAATTTTTTTCTCTGCCTTCTTCCTCCAAGTAATCCCATCTGCTATTCAATACTTTGAGAGGCTTATTCTGAACAAGTGGTTCCTTTGTTTTTCTGGAACTACAATTTAACCAAGGCATTTTTAAAAAAAGTCTTTGTTCATTGGTCTTCGTTTTCTTTGGTTTCATTATATACAGGTGAGGATTTTAATCTGCATTTACTTGTATCAAATTTAACACTGTCGTGTTCATCATCTGTGTGTTCTGCAAGACTTTGAACTGGAGTGAAACTCATTCTTGCAGCAGAAGCGTTGCCTTGTCAGTTGCTCTGATCACCCTCCTTGAGAGGTTGTGGAGGTAGAGAAGAAGGCTTTCCAAGTAGTGGTGACTTCGATTGGAAGGCTGAATGGAATCTATGTGCAGTGAACAGGGCTGTGCTGCAATTTCCATCGTGAAATTAATACTTGAATCTCTGATCTTGATCTCACGATTTAAGTAATCTTTATATACTGGTGATGTACCAATAAAAATACTAACATTTTAGTACTTATAAATTATCACAAGGTAGTGATTCCAAAACTAGCAACACAATTGTGAAATAGAAGGACATGATTTACTCCCCTCCCTTTTCCCGACATAAACAGGAGATGATAGATGACCTTGATCACTACACAAATACCTACCAAGTCTACTCCAAGGATCCCAAGAACTGTCAGGAATTCCTCAGCTCACCAGAAGTCATCAACTGGAAACAGCACTTGCAAATCCAAAGTAAGAGGACTGGGATGTTTGCTGACTCGCTTCTTTGCACTGCTCAAGTCCCCCTGTGACTTATACCTTCTGCTTACAAGTTCCAGACCCTCATGCTGCTGTCTATTGTTTTTAATCAGCTGCAATTACATCTATAAAAAAGGGAAAAAGAAAGCCCTCGAGGCTGGAAAGACTGAGTTTCATACCGTAGTTGCTGTAGTCGCCATTGACTTCGTTCTGTTCAGACCACCCCGTGTGGGTCGGAGAATGTGCTCCCTGAGGTTTTCCATGGCTCAGTTTGGGGAAGTAGGTGGCCAGGTATTTTGTCAAAGGAACATCTGCATGGACTTGAACTTCCAGCCTCTTGCTGAACAACTGAGGGTGTTAAACATTTGCATCAGCCAGGTTTCACACAGGGAACTGTAGTACAATTTTGTGGCAACCAGTGACTTGGTATCTTTTGCAGATTCCAGGAGCCCTTAGGTGGTTGGTTGTGGGAGCAGAGCTTCCCTGTGGCCTTCTGTTCCTGGAATAACTCTGACAGCTCATTATGCCACAGAGCACCTCTTCCAGTTTTCAAAGACAGTTGTTGTGGTTATGAGCATGCCTCTGGATCAGAGTCCCTAGGATGGCATCCGGGCTCTTTCTGTCCCTTGCTGTATAATCTTAGCCAAGTGATTTCTCCTTTCTGAGACTCATGGTCTGCATATGGAAAAGGGAGGACAAGAATAGTGCCCAAAACATGATGGGTTGTTGGGTGCCATATAGTTGATTCTGGCTCATAGCGACCCCGTGAGACAGAGTAGAAATGCCCAATGTGGTTTCCTAGTCCATAATCTTTAAGGAAACAGATTGCCAGGCCTTTCTCCCTGAAACTGCTGGGTAGAAGAACTGCCACCATTTCAGTTAACCACTGTGCTACCGCGGCCTCTTACCTAAAACAAAGGGGCACCTAAAAGTTGAAATGAGTTCTGTATGCTTTTTTAAAACAAACATTAACTTACATTTTGGTTGTTGAGAACACACACAGCAGAGGATACACCAAGTCAACAATTCCTACATGTATCGAGTCAATGACATTGATTACATTCTTCTAGCTGGGCAACCTTTCTCACTCTCTTTTTCCAAGCTGTTCCTCCCCCAATAACATAAACTCACTGCCTCCTACGTGTCCTATCTGATCTTCTGAGTTGCTGTTGTCAATTCCATCCTGTAAAGACAAATCTCGAAAGAGCTCATTTTTGCTAGTTAAGTTAAACCATTGTTTTGTTTTAAGGGGATTTCATTGACATGAAATGTTGAGTAGGGAGAGCTGAGCACAATACTTGGATGCATAGTTAGCGTTTGCTGCATAGAACAACCACCTTAAAAGTCAAATCAGTGATCACTGACAAGCTCATAATTCAGTGAATGCAATGTGCCTGGGTTCGGCAAGGCAGGTCTTCTGCTGGTATTCCTTGGTTTACTCATGCAGTTGTGGTCAGCCGGTGGGTGGACAATGGGCTGATTGCTATAGTAGGACCTCAGTCACATGTGTGAATGCTACTCCTGGCTGTCAGTTAATCCTAGCTGTTGGCTGTGATGACAGCAAGGTAGAATCATGTGTAGGCTAGTATGTGTGACCTCTCAGATAGCCTAGTGTAGGCCTAGACATATGGTGTTAGGTTCAGGGTAACCAGGAGCACAAAAGAGAGGGCAAGCTCTAAAGTGCAAGCACTTTTCAGCCTCTCCAATCATCAATTTCCTTTTGTCCCATTGGGAAAAGCAGTCACATGATGACAGTAAGCCTCAGTGCAAGACTATCCCAGGGAATGGATCCCAGTAGGTATGGGCTAGTGCTGCCACAATTTGCCATTCTGAGAATGTAGTAAGTGCTCACAGACGTTGGCTAATATCTTTTCTAACTCATCTCTTTTAATTACCAAAATGGCATTGTTACGTAGACTAGAAACCTGGTTCTGATCTTGGTACTGGCTCTCATGGCATGGACATGTCTGAATCAATCCCTGGGCCAACCTTCACCCTAGAATATATTGAAGCAACTACATCTCCCCTTGTAATCTCATTTAGGTTCACAGTCCAGTCTAAATGAGGTGATACAAAGTCTTGCAGCCACTAAAACCTTCAAGGTCAAGCACACTCAGTGCTTCCTCTATATGACGTCTGAGACTGCAAAGAAACTCGCTCCTTCCTTGCTGGATGCAGAGAACTTATCATTGAAGACTGGCAGGCCCAAGGCCATGTGAGTGTTATAAAAGCTCCTCTGCACTACGCATTTTGCTCACCATTAAAGTACCCCCCAACCAGCCTCTTTCTGTTTTCTGCTTCCAGGCGACCAAATCAGGCATGTCTTCCTCTTCAACATCTCTTATCCTTTCTGTTCATTCCCCACAACTCTAGCCTGCTTTCTGTTCTTCTTTTATCACATGCTCATCCATACTCCAGGACTTCCCATTTGCTATTTCCTCTGCCTACTCTGTCTCTCAAGATAATGGACGTAAGCGGACCAATACCCAAACTTACTGCCATGGACTAGATTCCTGTTCATAATGACCCCCATGGGTTTCCAAGGCTGTAAATCTTTACAGAAGGAGACTGTCTCATCTTTCTCCCGTGGAGTGGCTGGTGGGTTTGAACCATTGACCTTTAGGTTAGCAGTGAAATATCTTAACCACTGCACCCCCAGAGCTCCTTAATAGAGGTAACAGCAAATGTAAAACTTCATAAAACCTGTTGCTGTCAAGTGGATTCTCATTCATGGCGAGTCGTGTTGCAGAGTAGAACCATTCTCCATAGGGTTTCTTGACTGTTCTTTGCAAAGGCAGGTCACCAGCCATTTCTTCTGGGGTGCTCCTGCGTGTATTTGACCTGCCAACACTTAACGTTAGTTGTCAAGCACAAAGCATTCGTGTCACCCAAGCAGCATACAATTTCATGTTGTTGTTGTTGTTCACCATCAAGATAGTTCTGACCCATAGTGACCCCGTGTGACAGAGTGGAACAATGCCATACTGTTTCCTGGTCTGTAACCATTACAGAAGCAGATCAACAGGTCTTTCTCTCATGGCCATTGGTGGGTTCCAACGACCAGCCTTTTGGTTAGCAGCTGAGTCCTTTACTGTTTGCACCTTCGGGGCTCCTTATAAAACTTCATATTCATCAGCTTCTCTTTTCTCTTGGCTTCTCTATAGCAACGAAGAGACGTTTAAACTCTCGTCCCTGGATGTCACCCATGCTGCCTTAGTGAATAAGTTTTGGCACTTTGGTGGCAATGAAAGGAGCCAGAGATTCATCGAACGCTGTATCCGGACCTTCCCCACTTTCTGTCTGCTGGGACCTCAGGGGAGCCCTGTGTCCTGGGACTTGATGGATCAGACTGGAGAGCTGAGGATGGCAGGTACTGTGCCTGAGTACCGGGCCCAAGGCCTCATCTCCCACGTGGTCTATGTCCAGATCCAGAGGTTGGAAAAACTTGGATTCCCCATCTATTCTCACGTAGACAAGAACAACAAAATTATGCAACATATGAGTCGAACACTGAAGCATGTCCCCATGCCTTGTGACTGGAACCAGTGGAACTGTGTGCCTCAGTGACCCTGGACCTGAACAGAGACAATGTTGGGGGATCCTGAGCATGTGGCTGGAGGTGTTGACGGGTGTATGGAGAAAGAAATCATTATAACCACTGGGAAAGGAGTGGGCGTTGTTTGGGCTCCAGGGAAGCAGAAATGCATGGGGAACAGAAAAACTATGGTCCCCGCCCTCAAAGAGTTCATGGACTTCATTAGGTTCCTCAGCACAGAGTTGGCTCAGACACTCCTTCAGTGGCCCCCACATTGTCGAACTTCCCATGTTTCAAAATTGCTGCAATACTCGTTAACAGCATTGCTGGCATCTATCCACTAGATACCAGTAGCATCCTCTTCCAGTTTTGACAACCAAAAATATCTCATATATTTCCAAATGTCCTGTGGAGGCAAAACAACCCTTGGTTGGGAGCTACTGCTTATGGTTGTGTTTCTCACATTTGAGCATGCATCAGAATCATCTGGTAGCTTTCTTAAACACAGATTGCTGGGCCCCATCCCTAGATTTTCTTATGCAGGTGATAATTAACTATTGTTGTTGTTAGGTGTCATACAGTCAGTACTAACTCATAGTGACCTTGTATATAACAAAACTAAACATTGCCTGCCCCTGCGCCATCCTCACACCCTCACAACCATTGCCATGCTGGAGCCTATTGTTGCACCCACTGTGTTAATTCATCTCATTGAAGGGTTTCCATTTTTTCCACTGAGCCTCTAATTTACAAGCATGATATCCTTCTCCATGAACTGGTCACTTCTGGTGACCAAAGCAGAAGAGATGAAATCTGAAATCTTCACTTCTAAGGAGCAGTCTGGCTGCGCTTCTTCCAAGACAGATTTGTTCATTCTTCTGGCAGTCCATGGTATTTTCAGTTTTTTTTTCTGGAAAACTCCCACTCTGGAAAAGGCAAGATCAAAGAAGGCAAACATTCTGGTAACCCTTGACTTAGATTTCCAGATTTATATTACTCCATACCGATAGCACAAATAGGTGGTTGCTGGTATTGTTGTTAGCTTCCATAAACTTCCTTCCAACTCAAGCGACCCTACCTACGTACAACAGAATGAAACATTGCCTGGTCCCGTGCCATCCTCACAATCTTTGTTTTGCTTGAGCCCATCACTGCAGCCACTTGGTCAGTTCATCTCATTGAGGGTCTTCCCCTTTTTCACTGACCCTCTACTTTGTTGTTGTTGTTATTATGTGCCATCGAGTCATACCCAACTCATAGCGACCCCACAGAAGTAGATTGCCCAACCTTCCTCCTGGGTGGCTGGTGGGTTTGAACCTCCAGCCTTCTGGTTAGCAGTCAAGTGCCTTGGGCACTATGTGCCAGAGCTCCCACCTTCTACTTTATCAAACATAATATACTTCTCTAGCAACTGCTCCCTTCTGATAATGTGAGCAAAGTACAAGAGACTAAGTCTGGCCATTCTCACTTGTGAGAAGCTGTACAGCTGTACTTCTTCCAAGACAAATTTGTTCATTCTTCTGCAAGTCCACGGTATTTTCAATATTCTTCACCAACACCAAAATTCAAATGGATCAATTCTTCTCAGTCTTCTTTATTCATCATCCAGCTTTCACATGCATACTTGGTGACCATTCCTTGGATCAAGTGCACCTTAGTCTTTGCTCTTTAACACTTTAAAGAGGTATTTTACAGCAGATATGCCCAGTGCAATGCGTCATTTGATATCTTGACTGCCTCTTGCATGGGTGCTGATTGTGGATCCAAGAAAAAATGAAATCCTTGACAACTTCAATCTTTTCTCCATTTATCACGATGTTGCTTAGGGGTCTATTTATAAGGATTTTTCTTTTCTTTATGCTAAGGTATAATCCATACTGAAAGCTGTAGTCTTGGATATTCATCATTAAATGCTTCAAGTCTTCTTCACTTTTAGCAGGGAAGGCAGATTACTGTTGAGTCTCCCACCAATCCTGATGCCATGTTCTTCTCCATATAGTCCAGCTTCTAAGATTATTTGCTCAGCATGCAGATTAAATAAATATGGTGAAAGATACAATCCTTACGTATGCCTTTCCTGATTTTGAACCAGGCATTATGCCCTTATTCTGTTTGAATGACTATCTCTTGGTCTATGTACAGGTTCTTCATGAGTACAATTAAGTATTCTGGAATTCCCATTCTTCACAATGTCATCCATAACCCGTTTGGATAACATATCATATTTGGAACACAAATACAAATCTGTTAAATTCTCCTAAATATTCCTCATTTCAACAACAGCAATAAATATTAACTTATCACATACTATGTGCCAGGTACTACTATTTTATGAATTTGAGACACAGCGATGAACCAAAGAAAGATCTCCTGTGGAATTTACAAGTTATTCTCAATTATTGAAACATTTTATTATAATTAGATGATATTTCATTATAAAGCACTAAGATGATGCAATGATTCTTGCTCAGAGGATAATCTGTCTTTTCATTTCTCAGGACACCCAAGCTGCAGCCTTGGACTCAGAGCATTCTCTGTAAAGGACACTGGGAACTGGGTCTCTCCCTGTCTCCCAGTTTTTTCTCCTTATCAGATAAGTCTTCCTCCCTATTAGGAGCTCACACTAACTTTGTCTCTGTCTCCATGAGTATCTATAAGTACTTACTTGTGTACCACTAACCTTGTAGCTAGTGGGGAAGCCAGTCACAGGTTGGCCACACTGTTTTATGCTGGACAAAGGCAACTTCCTTGTCCAGGATTGCTGTGGTGCCAACACTGAACAAAGGCACCTTCTTCATAGCCCCCTTCCTCTTACCTCCATGCAGTCCAGCACTACAAACCTCCTATACGAGTTTATATTTACAAACCCAGACCTGAGTTCCTCTTTCTTCTCTTACCCGTGGTGCATTGTGGGGTATGCATGGAAATGACTTAACATTTCACCCTTCAATGGGGATCTTTTGGGAAAACCTGGTTCTTGATAAACTCTATTCCATTTAACTCATTGTGATTACTATAACTGATAAAAACCTGTGGACCTGCCCAGTGTGATTGTTCATCTGACCCAAAGAGCCTGCACTGTTCATTTTATTTCACTTGAAATATCACAATTCTGTTTGTTTAAGTCAGGAAGGAAAGAAAATGTTAACAGGCTGGACATGAAGTTGTAAAGTTCCAAGTTTATGGTTTATAAGTTAGACCCAAAAGGATTTTGTACCAGATTTATATCAACCATACATATATATATATGACCCAGGCATCATAAATGGTCCAATCATCCTGTAAGAATTTTTCATATCTCTTGGATGAAGGTCCAGATTAGACATCTAGGAAAACCTCACCAATAAGCAGTCCAGTAGACAGACAGCAAACTATCCCTTCACCACCTCCCCTGAAACCTTCTGACTAGAGAAGACCAGGGATTAATTTTAATAAAAGAAAGCAATACCTTCAATTATTGAGTGTCATACAGTGGATATGGTCAGAAAGTATATTGCCCATTGTTCTGGTTACCTAGTGCCACTCTGACAGGAATATACTACAAATGGAATGGCCTTAACAAACAGTTTATTCTCTTATAGCTCGGGAGGCTAGAAGTCCAAGTTCAAAGTGCCAAGTTCTAGGGGCTGGGTGAAAGCCCCTCAGCCTTGGGCTTCAGCTCTGCCTCCAGCTCCTGGCCCACTG